GGGAATAACTTGTCATAATTCCATCACAATTACTTTAGGTATTTATCTCTTTTTTTTTTTCTCTCTCTTGTTTCATAGTTCAGCATAGTTTGTATCTCTTGAACCATTCTGTTTTCATCTAGATTCAAATAATAACTCAGTAAGTTCTTTTGTATCGAATTGCCCCCCCCTCTTTTGAAAATATTTTATGTTGTACAGTATTTTGTAGCACATGTTGATTTCCTTCCTGGTATTTGTGAATGACGAGTGAGTTTGAATAAACAGTGCAAGGTGATAAAGATAGTAAACCGTATTCTTTTGAAGCTTTTATGAATAACACACAGTAGTTCTTAACTGGAATCCACAAATCATACTTTTGTCTATGAATTCTCCAAAGGGTTTTTTAAACATGTTTGCAAGATGGTCTTTGATGTGGAATTGCCAACGCACAGCCTTAATCACAACTTTCTATTGTTGATTGTTCTTGGTCTTGAAGATAGTTGCAAATGATATATCAAACGAAATGTTCAGGAAATATTGTTTATAAGTGGTGCCTTTCTTCTTCTTCTTCTTCTTCTTCTTCTTCTTCTTCTTCTTCTTCTTCTTCTTCCTTCTTCTCCTCCTCCTCCTCCTCCTCCTCCTCCTCCTCCTCCTCCTCCTCCTCCTCCTCCTCCTCCTCCTCCTCCTCCTCCTCTTTTCTTCATTTCTTTTTCTTTTCTTCTTTTTCAAGAAAGCTAAATGTATCGTGCACTAACCTGTAAACTTGGAAGACACAGATGGTAATCACATTATCTGGCTATTGTTGTTAAGCCACAAATGAAAAAGCAATAATTGTAAATACAGTTAATACTCGAAATGTTTCCCGAAACCCACAGATAACGTTTTTGCAGTAGGGTTTTTTTGCAGTTGTTTTGACAGTGCCATGCTCAACTTTTTACAGTTCACAATTCACCCTGTTCAGTCTTTTCTTATCGATGACTATTCTTTCTGGCTTTCTGATGTGTTACTACCATATGTCTTTCCATCTTTTGAAATGGGCTTTGTTGGATACAGTTGGCAGAGGTGTTATATATAATATATGACTTCCTTTTTTTATATATAGAGAGAGAGATGACTGGAGTTATTATGAATATGATTACTTTTATCATGCTTATGCTAATTTTTTTTATTATTATTGTTAGGTTTATGGTAATCATTATTTTGGTAATGGCTGGTATTGTAGTTATTATTGTCATAATGTCAGTCTTGATTATTATCGGTAATATTATTTGTAAATTTTTGCTTGTATTTTTTATTGATTTAATTACCAAATTATCATCACTAGATTAAAATTTTGGATATGAGGACCTTGGGAAAAGAAAGTAATTGAAAAAGGAACAAAGAGGCTATTGAATTGTTTATTTTGAATTTGTTGATATCTGAAAAATTGTGCATGTCTGCTCGGCAGCATTGCAGTCTGCCTTAGTTTGTTGATGTATATTGATTTTTCATATTTTTCATGTATTTATATTTAAATTCTACTCATAATTTGTATATTTGTTTGATAAGCAAAAAAATTATAAGAGGTGTGTTTATAGTGAAAAAAAAAAAAAAAAAAATCTCCTAATTAGTCAGAATTAGGCACATGGGGGGGGGGGGGTGTACTCCCTTGGTACTTCAGTGATGAGAGCAGTTGTAGCTGAAGGAAGGAAGGAAGGAAGGTTGGGCCTTGAGTCTGAGAACTGTCTGCAACTTGTGGTGCATGGGCAATCAACAATGAGAACGACATCAAGAACATTATATTACAATTAGTGAAACGGTTTGTCTGAATGAACTCTTCTACTTCTTGTATCTATTATTTTTTAATTTCTACATTTATTATTATTGTTATTATTATTTTTATTGATTATTATTCTTGATTTTTGATATCGTCATCATTATTGTCATTATTATTATTATTAAATTTCATGAGCATTGTTATTAGTATTTTATTATTACTATTTTTCTTATGGACACTTAATGAGTAAGAATTTTGTAGGTACATATTAGTGTAGGATAAAGGTTAGGTTTTTTATCATCATTTTTACAAAAAAAAAGAAAAAAAAGAAAAGAAAAGAAAAAAAAAAAAAAAAACTCTTTTTTAAGGACCTTTGTAGCAAGCAGCATGTCGTGAGGATATGGTTGACCCTTTTATTGATGTTGATCATCATTTTTTAAAGCACCAATTTCCGTGACGTTGCCAGTGTGTGACGGGTCAATCCGTGATTCTGTAAATGGATATTTTCAGAACGTTGTAAATATGAACATGAACTAGATCCTGATTGCATGTAGAATGAATCATGCTGGTGACCTCACTCATGTGTAAAATGGTCAGTGTTGTATATATATATATTACCAGTAAACACTTTCTGTGCAGTGCTGGACTTTTTTTTATCTTTATTATTATCTTTTATATATATATATATTTACCTTGTTTTTCAGTTGTGAGTTCTGTCACTGTAGAAATTACATGTTTTGAAATAGATACCCCTTTAATCCTGAATCTTTTGACATCTAACCTGTGAACAGTTTCAAGATCTTAATCCTTTTGTGGAATGTGTGTCAGTGCTAGTTCTGTTAATTTTTTTTTTATTCTTTTATATGATTTATGCCATTATTGTGTGAGATAGATCAAGAAAGATATCTACCGTAGATTCTTAGAGTCTTCAGTCATTTCCGGGAAAATTGAACGGACTGGACATATATTTATAAAGAAAATTTTTCCTTACCTCTCGGGTATATCCAGGAAGTACTAAAATGATGGGAAAGCGTTTTTTTTCCTTGACGAGACTTCACAATAAATGATTTGATATTACATTCCTAGTGTTAATAATGTCTTTGGCAATTTTTTTTTTTTTTTTTTTTTTCCCCTCAAAGAAACAAACATATTGATGGTAGGAATGGTATTTCAAACAATGCTCAATTCTTCAGTTCTATGGATGTGTCAGGTTAGTGAAGTCTGACTTAATACTTTGGTAATAATAATAAAAAAAAAAAAAAAGAGACAAAGCAACTTGCACATAAAAAGATGATGAAAAAATCTAATGCACTCTGGGGGAAAAGACAAGCTGGAATAGAAAAGATCATCCTGTTGGTATTAAACACGGGACAAACTGACCAAATTAAAGTTTGTCAAATTCAGCAATTTCATATTTTATAGGTCGTACAGAAACTACAAATACAATATCTGGGTGAAAATTGAACGGCCTGGACATATATTTACGAAGAAAATTTTTCCTTAACTCTCAGGTATGTTCATGAAGTAATGAAGTGATGGAAAAGGCTTTTTTTAAGGCTGCTTCCATCCATGACAAGACTTCACATTAAGTGGTTTGATATTACATTCCTAGAGTTAATAATTTCTTTGGCAATTTTAATTATTATTATTATTATTTTTTTTTTTGGTCAAGGAAGCAAGCGGTTTGACAGTTGGAATGGTATTTTATGCAATGCTCAGTTCTCCAGTTCTTCAGATATGTCAGGTTAATGAAGTATGATTTATTACTTTTGGTAAAAGAAGAGAGAGAAAGCAACTTGCACAAAGAAAGATGAAAAATTCTGGGAAAAAGACAAGCTGGAACAAAAAAGAAAATTGTGTGGATATGAAAAGCAGGACAAAGTGACCAAATTAATGTTTAATTCAAATTCAACAATTTTGTATTTTATATGTTGTACAGAAACCACAAATACAATATTTGGCTGAACGAAATACCAACCAAGAAAAAAAAAAATAAAATAAAATTACTTGTTTTAGCAGCATTAACTTTCTGATAATAAAACAATACATAACAGTTTGGAATATCATGCCAACATTATAAATGGATTGTAAATGAATAATAATATTTGTTCATTACACCTATGCCACATTACTGCCCATTTGCTCTGAAAAGCTGTTTATGCACATTCCTAGAAAGAATGGGAAACCTACTCGTAATGCCCTCCCCCGGTACCCTGCTCGTTGCTGCCGAGTGTTGGGGATTATCCCTACATTGGACCTCAGCCCTCGCCTCTACCAATTTTACAAGGTCTTTTCTTCTCCTTTCCATTTCCTTCTCTTCTTCACCTCTTCTGTCCACTTATCCCAATAGTTAACTCAGTTTTACCCTGTTCGCCACAATATGTTGTCATAATGTGTGACCTTTGATGTTTTGACCACAGACCCTTCATGTGAGACTTGTAAACCAAAATAATTCTTAGCCGGGGACTTCTTCCCCACGTCCCACCCTATTGCTATATTTTGAACATGCCACACCTCTGACTCCTACCTACCATTTTCTACCCATGAATACCCGCCTTCGTCTATACCTTTCTCTCGTATCTTGTCTCACATGAAAATGTGCAGCAGAAAAAATGAATACAGATACACGAATATTCAACTGATCAGCTAAAAAAGAACAAAAAAACAAAACAAAACAATACGTGCGCGTTTATGAAAATAATGAAAATGTCAATTAAAACGGTTCCGTAGTACTTACTACATAACACACACGCAAACTTACCTTTCTTGCTCTCCCTGACGGAGTCTAAGGCCCAATACAGGGATCACCCCTACCTTGGGCCCGAGCCCTCAACTCGACTAATCTTGTACGGTCCTCTCTTTTTCCCCTCCCCTTCTTCTCTTCTCCAACTTCTATCCACTCCCTAAAGTGTGAGAGACGCGTTGGAAGGATGAACGGCCGACTTTGTGGCAGCCATGAACGGGTAGCCATGGGTACGGTATTCCCCTGTTTAGTTGTCTAGCCATTACCTCAACGGGACCCTGAGGGGTGGACCCCTATTGGGAGCAATGAGGCTTGCCCCTTTATGAACTAACCCCACTGGTTTTAATACCCCGGGTTCCTAGACCTCAGGCTCTCCTTTGACCACGACTCTGAACACTACTACTACCCACTCCTTAGTGCCTGCTATCACCTCAGTCCAGTCCAAATCATCCGCCCATGTCATCACTGCTCTTTCTACGACAAGGATTGGTCAGATTGTGGGGAAGACTTATTCGCCTGCCTCGTGGACTATGATGTAGTATCAGTACAATACTACACCATTCCCCTAGGGACCGGCGTGAGTCCTCCATCAATATTGCCGAGATTACATTTCATAGACGTGACCTCTCCTGATGCATATATTGACGGAGAATTCCTCTCTGTCCGACCTTATCAACCTTCTCCGTCAATGTCAGAATTGGCGTCTAGGCCAACCTGCCAAACCCTGCCGTTCCACAGCCCGATGCCCTTTATGTGCCCTGCACAGGCAACACATGCGTGCCAATTGTGGTGGCTTCCATATTACATTTTATAGGAGCTACCCTACCTACGAATCTGAGGTGGCAAATCTCAAATTCTAACTTGGTCTCAGTTTACGCGAGGCCAGACAGGAAGCACATAGACGAGGATTTTCTCTTACTCCCTACACCAGTGCTACCCTTCACTCTACCTCTCCCCTATCCTTCCAAAATGTTTCTACACCGCCCCTTGTATCTATATCTCCTCCATTTTACGTTTCCATTTTTACCTCCCTCTTCTCCCAATCAAATTCTTTTGCAATTCTAAATCCAGACACCCCAATCTCTACCACTGCCCCCACACCTTTCGCTCTCCCTCATTTTTCTACCCGTATTTATACCACACACTGTCCTCCACCTACCTCCTCCTCTACCCCTCAGACGCCTATCTCTTCTTCTCCCCCTCATAAGAAAACCTTTGTTTCTCAGACCTCCCCAGCCAAATCCACTTCAGAAACTCTCGAAGCCATCTAATCACGACCCTAGATAAAAGTCGAAGTAACTGCCGATATCCATCCTATTCATGTTCCCTCTATTCAGTCCCAACACATCCCATTCCTCCCTGCTTCATCGGCATCATTCCCCCTTCCTTCTGTTACTTCTACACCTGTGACTCTTCGTCCCAACAAGCTCTTTCCCTGGATTCTCTCCCTCCTGACATTTTTTTCCTGAAACTGGATCTAATCGCCCTTAAACTCCCTTTCTCCTTTTGCTAATCCCTTACCTTACCCTTTCGGACATCCTGTCAGAATCCCGCACTTTTTCCCTTTGACAATTTTGATCAAATCACCCTTGTAAATCCCTACCTTAGCCCATTTACTCACCCTCTCTACCCCTTTCGATGCCATACTTTCCTGAGCTGCTTTACGACGTTTGGCGCGTAGCATATTTCATCACCAAATAATGATCTCTTTCCCCTTTCCATTACTATGCCTTTCTTTAGTGCTATGTGACCTTTGATGCCTGGCACATTTATTTTGCTTTGTAGCCATGATCCATTAAGCATCTCTCTCTCCCTCTCTCTCACACTATCCTCACCCATTCCCTGCTTTCTCATTTTCTCTATTGCTCTCTTGCTTATACTCTTTCTCTCTCTGGTCGTAGGTAAGAAGCAATAATGGGTGGCTGAATTCGGTCATTGGTGATTATAACCAGGTACCGAAACAGGTATTCCACTGGTTTGCTCGTTTATGGTTGCCCGATGCCGAGCTTTGCCGTTTATGCCTGGTCTTACGGTCGTGGTATTCGAATTGTTTGCTTCGCGTAAAAAAAGAAAGAAAAATTCTTCGGTCGTCTAGTAAGTGCAATTCGATTACTTCTAAAATGAAATGGTGATTCTGGCAAGAAACGACCGTGAGCAAATAATGAAAAATTCTCAGGAAGATGTGAATATAAATGTCGAAGAAGCAAAAAGTGAGATGTGATATGACCCGAAACATGTTCATAATAAAAATTTATGAAAAGTCTGGTTACATAGGCTGGTTGGTGATGGCACGATTTTCTGCTCTCCAACTCTTTTGAAAACTATTAATATATTCCTAAAATATGTGTTTTCTTATCCCGAATTCCATTTTCATATCTTTACTGATCTCACTTTTGGCTAAATAGATTAAAGCATCCGCAAACAAACAAACAAAAATTATATCCAACAAAAGCCATCATTTCTGCCGCCACGACACTTTTTTTTACGACAGGAATCGAGGAGCGGGACTAAGCTTTATCAGTAGAGTTTGTAGAAGAAATGGATGTACTCGCATGATACTAGTTAAAAAAGCACATAAAATAGAATGCTGAACAGTAAAATCAAACTATTATACATATAATTCGTATAGATCAGTGACGATAATATCTTCAAATTTAAAAATCCGAAAAAGCTGGTGTTTTGGGAGTTGCATCCTGTATTACCTACGATTTTCTAATATCATGAAACACAAAGCAGTGTGTAATGACGCAGAAAAAAGAAAAGAAAATTACATGTAAACTGACGTAGATTCCCGGGAATGGGGTGAAAAACTTATCTCTATGCTAGTGTTTTAGCAGTTTCACCTCTGTTTCTTCTTTTATCTTACCTTTTGTTATTATTATGTTAATGATTTTCGTCTTAACTATTTTGCTGTCTTTGTGGACGTGAACATTTTCGTGTGTGCATTATTTTTATATGTGATATCGAATTTAGTCAACCCAATGGATTTGTATTATTACGTTGTTAGCTATCATTTTATCTT